GTCCGGAGTGACATGTAACAGTCTGTGTAGTGTGAGAGTCAATGTAATGGTAGAGTGACCTCTACTGGTAATCCGCCGGAAAGCCACGGACCGGATTCGTGACAATGCTGCTGTTTGGGAATGCAGTCGTGTAAGACATTTCTGGTAGGCAATTATACAGAAATACTTTGATGACAGACTTTGCTCGGGCATTTACGAATGACTGTAACAACATTTCAGATGCTGTGGAATTAGATCGGTCTGCTGGTTAGTCAGGATTTGCCATCCCATAGTGCACAGTCACATGACTTTTTTTGATGCAATTGGAGGCCACAGACCTGATATAATGAAACGTTTAGTATGCCCAAGATATGTTGAAATAAACATACGTGCAGTTTCCCCTGTCACTCGACATAAAACTGAGATAATAAACTGCATAAAAAGCCCAGGGAGAGTTTGTAAACCTCAGAAATGAGGTGAAACAAAAGTCTCTATGTGCACCAATTCAGCAGCACAATCTACCCAGCAGGTCTGGCCCTCCATGCCTGATTCCATTCAGGCTAAATGCAAGTTAATTTCTTATATATCTCAAAATACTAAAGAATTGCATACAGTACACAATCAAAAAAATCTAAACAAGCCATATTATGTTACTGAAATGAGTGTACATTACAAAATGGGAGGTGAACTAATGAGTCAGCACATTAAAGAGATTGCTGGCACACTGACTGAATGGTGCATACAAAATAATAAGGAATGGTTTAAAACTATAAATAAACTGAATAAATATTCAGCACAGGAAGATCACGTGGATGGGAACCAAAGAAAAAAAAAGCTTTCAACCATGTGATTTTGTCCTGATCCACGCAGTTTAATTGCTTATCTCTGGTTTAATTGACGTGTTCTGATTACCCATGCTCCTCTGAGAAAGATGTGGGTGTGTCACAGTGCTTATAGGAGCTTGGGACACCTGCCACAAATGGAGACCTTTTGAGATGCTGATCACGACCGTTTGAAAGCCATTGATTTAACACAATGTGCCATATTACAAAGAGAAAGCGCTCAAATTTCAACATGAGCCCATTTTAAAACCTTTGTATTATGTTTACTTAAAATATCACATGCACTTTAATACACAACTCTTGTTGCATTTGGCAGATTGTTTGTCTTTTGTATCTAACTGCGGACGAGATTTGGGTAAATAACATGCATATTTGTCAATCTGTAAGATTCTTTTACATGACAATAAGACTAATTTGTACACTTAGAGACTAAGACTAAGTCACAATAAGACTTTACACTTAACAGAATTTCAAAAGGGTCGAACGTCAGTATCAAATGCTCCACTTAATGTTCTTGGTGACATCTTCACCTTTGACCTGAATGAGGAATGTATAATTCAGCAGGGGTGAATCTGAGAGGCAATGAAAGCGCACAGGGGCTGCCGAAACCATTCCAGGCCACCTGCTGCTGGAGGTTGATTACTTTAGCCTTTGACTGCACTTCCTATCATGCCATCAACACTGATTACACTTACAGTAAACTTACAGTTAGGAGACAAAAGGTTCAACAGTATATGGTTAAAATACCTCTGCATTCAAAGTACGCATTCCTCCCAATATTGTACATGATAGATAGATAGATAGATAGATAGATAGATAGATAGATAGATAGATAGATAGATAGATAGATAGATAGATAGATGTAATTCGCAATATGAATGCATGAAAATGCCCTCACAGCAACATGCCAAACAAATTACTTGGAAGAGTGAGATAAATAGTCGGTTTTCTTTCCAGGCCATACAGTGGACGGAAGCCATGTTCTCGGTTCATTCTGGTGTCTATCTGCTTAGTGACAGACACACTGTGAAATGAGGGCCCATTAGTCACAGAGCAATTGCTTATCCCCATTCCACAATACTGATACCAAAACAGCAGCAAAGGCCTTTCTAACCGATTCAGTGGTATCTGATGACCTTTGAGGAGCCACTGCATGAACATGATGGGCAGATAAACTAATAATATGAGTATAGGTGACCAGACCCATAGTGTAGGTATATCTGAAAGGTTTAACCTGAACCCACTTACATTCGAGATGTTTCTTTTTAGGTCCCATCACCTCATGCGTGGTCGCCTTACACACTGCACGAGCCACTTCGGATCCCGTGAGGCTGTACTGCGCCGCGGCGATGCGGTCCGTCAAAGTCTGACCCGACATCTTCCTTCTCTCGCGGATTCAAACGCCCTTATTCCCGTATAAAGAGACGCGTCGAGTTGTTCCAAAGCGTCCACAAGGATGAGGCCCTTCAAAATGGATTCTCGAGCACAATTTGCGATATTAATGTGATGTAATTGTTATCAAGACCAAGCTGAGATGAAGTATTTATCATGGATAATGAACAACGGACATATTTAAGGCAATACTAGAACATACAGAGAGACACTCTGTGTTTACTACAATATAAATTTCAGGTGAACGCCTGCGCCGTGTATTCGCCTCGTGGGGATGCGGGAGCATAAGAGATGCGTAACGAGTATTTCAACCGCAAATAGTAATTTATAAAGAGTAAACGGTGAGCATTAAGGTTATAAAAGACAGTTGTTATAAAGTCTTAAAAGATATTCCTCGTTTTTTGCGCGTCGTATTGGAAGAGGATGTTACGATGATGCTCGGCTCGACCAGTCGTCCTTCTCTCCTCCTCCAGATCAAGGATTAATCTTCCTGACAAACCCCGCTGGATGTGCAGTCACCCAAACTTTCAAGCGGCTTGCGTTGTTCTCCTCATCTCTAAAGAAACGCTTCCTTTTCCTACACCCCGTGGCTATGTCCAGTTTCGGACAATTGCTGAACTAGGAGGATGAAACGCAGCGATACCGGGAAGCCGCGGTCTCTGCTGGACTCGATATGAATGTATTTGTGCTATCACTCCGCCCCCACGCATGGGTCATGTCACACGTCATTAAAACCCCAGATTGCGTTTTACTATCTGCGCCCAAAAAAATTATGTCCCCGCTATGCTTTTCAACTCAGTTGTATGCTAAATGTGTCTCTAGGGAAAAGGAAGCATTTTTTTTTTTTTTTTTTTAGCTCCTATGTTGTATGATTGTAATAATGTGAATAGGTTGTGTTGTATTCATATGTTAAAATCTTTTGTTAATCTTGTTTGAAGCAATAATAAAAAATAATAATAATAAACTATCTGGGCCCAATGTAAATGTGCTTTTTATTGCTATGGTGGGAATTTTGATTCATTTTAGAGCCTCGAATCCTTTCAGTCAGTTCAACCAAAAGCTCCATTCACGGATTAGTTCAGTGGCTACTATCATCAGAGATTATGCATTTCCTTATCAAGTTTGTCATCTGCTTGGTGTGACTTTTATTAGGCTATTTAAAACTACAAAATGTCATGATTAAATAAATTAAATTATTTTATTTGTACTTCCGTCATTATAATGGTGCATTGTTTCATTTTACACATTCATAATCCACCACCTCCGCGAATTTGAGCACATTTTCCTTTTCGTAAATTTGTTCAGTTCACACACAAACGAAATGTGCCATTCAGACTCGAACAGCGACTCTGAAACACTGAACGAATTCGAATCCTTTAAGTCAATTAATCGTTCTAGGTGAGTAGTTCACAAACTGACCTGACGCATTACAATCAGCAAGGTTTCCTTAACATAAGTATTCTGTAAACTAAAGGTTTGTTTCGTTACGTTTGTTCAATTAGATCACAGTTTAAGAAAAACAGCAGTGGCACATGTGAAACACTTCGGTTTTATTTCCTTTCTCCCATTTACTCTAAGCAACAATACATATTTTCATTATGGCTTTGATCATTTTCAAAGCAACATGACTTTTAACTGTCCATGTATATGTATATATTTTTTCGTACACAAAAGGTTTTTGCTGACACCATTGAAAACTAATCCAAAAGGAAATAAACATTAGTGCAAGTTTGATTAGTTATGGACATGAGGTCTGCTACAACAAGCCATTCTGTGTATGAGGGAGTTCAAAAATGTTTTAAATTCACATGATATGTCTCTTTATTAGGCAAGTCACCACAATATGGAATGGCACAGTATCATCATACTATCCTAAGGGCTCAAACAAATGAAAGAAATAATCACAACGGGCCATATTTACAAGTAAAAGACTTTAAATGAAATAGGATAGCTTTTGGGAAAAAATACATTAATTAGAAAAGCAAAAACTGTACAAACTTCTTTTTGTTGTTGTTGGTTTTTTTCTCTTCCATTTTTAAAAGGTGAGGTGTTAGTGTTTTGGCCATAGCTCAATAGTTTTCACTTTTTTGTTCATGTCAGGTCACGTTTTGATGAGTCCCTCAAGAAAGTCCTTCTCAACCATTTCCTCAATGTTCTGTCTGGCCCGGCTCCAGAAGACTTTCTGACTCTCCAGCTTGCCATCCTTGCCAGGGAATGGGCTGTCTCTGGGAGTGGGGCTGTGATATGGTCCTGAGCGGCTGTTTCCTTTACTGCTGAAGACCTGACTGAGAAGGTTGAAGAAAGGGAGGAGCTGCTCCATGCTGCGGATCACGTAAAGTGTGAGCAGGAGCTGTCCGGGCTCCCAGGACAGAGTGCGTGTGGAGCAGTCCTCCTCTGGATTTTTCTAGAGATAATAGAGGTATTCCCATGAGAGTTAATGAACATCTTAGGCTTAAAAGCATTAGCGAATCTACTGAATAATCTATAGGCCCTATGCTAATAATGTGGAATGAATATTTGTTAAAATAATAAGGCTCCAATAGGACAGAATTTAATAGATTTCCATCGTTAAATGTAGGTCAAATGTTATATGGTAGTATTACCTTGGCCCTTTTTCTCAGCAGTTTGGCCAGTCTGACAACATAGGGCTTGAACTCTCTCTGATGGGTCCCCTGCCTGCGGACCTCCAGACCAGAGTCATCCGAGGCTTCAGGGACGAAAGCCCAGCGATACCTGTGGTATAGAGTATTATTATGTCTTTCACATTAAATATGCTCAATATTTGTAATACATTTTATCCATGAAGAAAAACAGAGAGTGCTAGAACAGTCTAAACTGAGGTTTTTTAAAAAAAACACTGACTTAGTCTTGAGAATCTACTTGAACTAACTGAACAGCACTCATGAGCTTAGTGTAAACAAAAGAAACAGCTATTCCATTACCTTTCAACAAGAAACATTGCTGCCTTGTACTAAAATACATTTCAAACAGTCAGTGTGTAAAATCGTGCAAGGACACCCACATCTGGAACTGAGGCAGACTCTCAGAGGGCAGAGCGAGGGCCAGGTCCAGCAGCTTGCAGGCAGACAGGTAGAGGTTAAGCCAGCGCTGGCTGTTGTAGGAGGTAGAGAAGCCGTTGCCCCCTGAGTATGTTGTCTCAAGCCCTACAAGAGAGGGACCTGAGGTCCTGGAGAAACCAGGAACCACATCAGAATTCAACATACAGAATCACCCATAAATGTCTTAAACTGTACAAGATTCTACTTCTCAAACAAAAACGAAAAGATAAAACAGGTAAAATATTGATTGCTACAGATTTAGGGGCCGTTTACACAACAACGTTTTCAGCCAAAAAACTGGCAATTTTATATGTTTTGCCTGTTTGTTTAAAAGAGAGGGACCTGAGGTCCTGGAGAAACCAGGAACCACATCAGAATTCAACATACAGAATCACCCATAATGTCTTAAACTGTACAAGATTCTACTTCTCAAACAAAAACGAAAAGATAAAACAGCTAAAATATTGATTGCTACAGATTTAGGGGCCGTTTACACAACGACGTTTTCAGCCAAAAAACGGGCAATTTTATATGTTTTGCCTGTTTGTTTAAACGACAACAGAGTTTTGGGGACTGAAAACGCATATTTTTGAAAATGGATTTCAAAGTGCAAGTTTTTGAAAACGGCACCGTTACGTCTGCTCGTGACGTCATGCGCGTGCGTAGTACGTGTTAGTTATGTAGACATGTGCAGTACGTGTCAATTTTAAAGGCAAGCACGAACAAACATACACAACAATGGTGGAGTACATGGTACTGTCATTGCTGCTCAAGAGTTTGCTAACGCTTCTTCAGCAAAGTGTGGATTTACTTCACCAATATTACAACCAACAGCAGAGACGCAACATATACAACATATAATCATCACTTCCCTACAGGTACTGTTCACTAACAAGGTGACAGTGCCAACTACTGGCCTGGCATACGTAATACAGCGTTTTTGGCCATTTTCACAGATATGTGTAAATGCGAATCGTTTTGAAAACGTTGTCGTGTATACGTGAAACTTTTTAAAAACGCAAGGGAAAAACTTTTCTGTTTTTGACTACATCGTTGTCGTGTAAACGTAGCCTTAAATAATGAGTACCTGGTGATGTCCTCATCTGCAGTGAGTTCCTGTTCCATGAGTAAGAAAACCTGAACCTGAAGGAAGAAACAAACAAGCGTATTGAACTGTGCTAAAGAAATGAGACAAAAAAGTCCACCAAATAACTATTCCTCTTTAGATTGTCCCCAGGAACTTCTGTTATTTCTAGGCCTGTCACGATAACAGCTTTTTGTTGTCTGATATATTGCCCTAGAAATAATTGCGATAAGCGATATTATTGTCATTTTAAAGACCATTTTATGCCACTGAATATATAATCATAATGTAACAGCATAATAATGCAAGGCGGCCTACATACTTCCAAATGACAACAAACTTTACATTTTTAAGAATATTTAGATCATGGAAATTAAGTATCAAAATATTAGATACCTTAAAAAACTTGAATAAATAGTAATTAAACATTTAACGAAAAGTACAAAGTAACAAGTAGAAAAAAAACGAAAAATGCACAAAGAACTTGTATGGAGATTTTTCCATCTACCGATTTTTCCCTGACCTTCTTTTCTCTGTAAATTAAGGGTGCACACTATTGCTGAAAAACACAATCACTACTCAGCAGTCAGATGTCCGTATGCACAAAGGCGCAGGTCCCAAAACAAGACCAAATCTGCAGATTAAACTTTGTTTGTAGAAGCTTTTTTTAAATTTGAACTAGCTCCTCATGACTACACCACATTATGTGCGAGAAGCTGCAAAAGACACAGGCGCAAGTGGAATGTACAAAACATAGTGACATTAATTTAAGTAAATATAATGGGCGATATATTGCGTCACTAAAAATGATTGAGGTCATGTACATATATTGCGCAATAAGTCGATATATTGATTATTGCGACAGGCCTAGTTATTTCAGAATCAGAGCTTACATCTTGCTTATGATTATATGTAATATGTAAATGTGCAAGGTGTGTCATATCCTCACCAACTCAGTGATCATAGTGGGCCAGAGTGAGGTCAGGTGCTGGGGGGACATGCGCAGTAGCAGCACTCTGAAGAAGAGGAAGACCTGAGCATGGAGGATGGGCACTTGAGGGAGTCGTAAGCTCTCCACAAGACGCTCTGAAATCACATCAACATATTATTTACAGCTTATTTTATGCTTTATCAGGGTACTAGTGCAATTGTAGGGTCTTCAACACATCAAAACTTGGACATTTAGAAATGAATAAGATACATTTTGAACAGGGGTGTCCAGTCCTGCTCCTGGAGGTCCACTACCCTGCAGAGCTTAGGTCCAATCCAAAATAAACACACCTGAACCAAGGTCTTCAGGATTATTTTCAGTGTCCAAAACTGCTGCCTATACACTTATAGTGCAGTAATTATGGGGGCAGCCAATTGTAGTAGTGTCCAAAACCATAGTGGACATTAACAAATGCACTTATTCAATCCCATAATGCACTGCAATAATAAGTGTACAAACAACGTGCACTCAACCTCTGCTTGAGAATACCTATACACTATGAGTGTCATGCTAAATGAATTCCCGTATCTCATCAGAGAA